GGACGTAGACGGTGGTGGCAACGGCTTCAGCCCATAAAGATTCGGGTAATTTAGCTGCCAGCAGAATAGTTCGAGCACAGTCTTTTAAAGTTCTAATTTCACGTTCGGACCTCCCATTCATTTCTGGATTGTAGCTGACGGTTGTTTCATGAATTATTCCCCGGTCTCTGAAGTATGATGCCAAAGTGGAATTACAGAATTCTCCACCATTGTCTGAACGGCATATCTTGACCTTTCTTCCTGTTTGATTTTCCATAAATTCAATGTAGCATTTGATACGATCCTTGGCTTCGTCTTTGCTCTTGAGAAAATATACAGTGCGGAAGCCAGTAGCATCGTCTTTCAAGAGTAAGAAATATTGAGCTCCTCCCAGGGATGCAACAGGCATTTTTCCAGCTAAGTCCATATGGACCATTTCTCCTGGTTTTATCGTTGCATTTCTTGTTGCGGCTGGAAATGGCTTTCGAGATTGCTTCCCAATCTCACAGTCTTCACACATAATTTTATGTGACACGGCCTCCAGGTCAATTCCACGAACTGCGTCTTTCTTGATGGAGTCCACCACATAGTTCATATTAATGTGTGTCAAGCGTTGATGCCATAGTTTAGCATTAGTCACGGGATGCATGTATGCAGCAATAATTTGTGAAGTGGGACGAAACTTCATGACATACATATCATTCTTGAACTCGGCAATTGGCCCCTTAAACCGTCCATCCTGATAAAATGTTGCTCCATTGTTGTCACGGACGATGGAGTACCCTTTCTTAGCCATTGATCCCTCAGAAAAAAGGTTGACAACCCCTTGTATGTACAACACGTTATCTATGGTACATTCCTCCCATATGCCGTTGATGTAAGCGTCAAGTGTCACTGTCCCTTTTCCTAGTGCTTGTGTAGCCCTTTTGTCCGTTAGGAAGACTGACTTGGGAGTGTCAAACTCTTCATATCTTGTAAACCATGCCTTATCTCCACAGACATGCTGGTTAGCTCCAGAATCGCTTAGCCACACTTGTTCAGTCACGGGTGCTTGCATGGGGGTTTGTATTGCATTTAGCATGAACGCTTTCCCAGGGCTTCTATTGGCTTGTGCGGGATTATCTGAAGGTTTATTGCTCTGATTTTGTGGATTACTCCTGCATTCCCTTTTCCAGTGGCCCTTTTTCCCACACCCATGGCAGGTTGTTGCCTTTTTCAACTCTTCAATGCTCTGTTTCTTCTTGCCTTTCTTCTGGTCATGGGTCAAGAATGCCTTTGCTGCATCTTGATTGGTTGATGCTGGTTTGGATTCCTTCCTCTCCAACTCCTCCTTCTTCAGACGGGCAAGTAGCATTATCATGCTCTGGTCCTTATCCGGAACGCTGTCCCATGCCTTTTTGAAGGCATTATACTCCTCGTCGGGGAGACTTGAGACAATCTTTGTGACAATGGATGCTTCAGGCATGACGACTCCCATTTCATTTAGTCTTCTGCCCAGCTCTTCCACCTCTGCAAATGCTTCAATCAATGACTGACTCTTGCCAATTTTGTAATTGAAGAATCTAGCCATGGTATGTTGCTTGTTAAGCGAGCTTGAATCTGAATTGATGCTTTTCAGCTTGTCAAACATTGCTTTTGATGTAGCGCAGTCATAAATATGATTTGTTTGAGTGGCACTGAGAGTGGGGACAATGATGGATTGTGCTTGTATATCCTTCTTATCCCATGCTGGCTGTTGCGCTTCATCTGCAGGTCGTTGGGTGGTGCCGTTGACTACTTCCCACAGGTCATGTGACTTGAGAAGTAAAGTTATCTGAAGTCTCCACCTCGCGTAATTGGTGTCGTCTAGCTTGACAATGTGCGTAACATCTATTCTTTTGATTGTTGATGTCATCTTGTCGTTGTGGAGTAGGGAAAGCAGAAGCGAAAAACAGAAATAGACTTGTTACCTTCTCTTTGCCTAATAAAGAGCAGTAGAATCGAAAAAGGTCGAGATTTGGTAGACGGGAACTCAGGATTTGGGTAGAGTGGTCGTCCTCAATAAAACTCGTCCTCGGGCGGAAGGTTCAGCTTCGGGTAGAGTCAAAGGGTCGATGTCTCTTGTCCAAACAATGGTCCAATTCACGGCACACTTTTACAGGCTTACTCCGTCCAGACTGGCACTGGGCAGTGGAGACTTACTGCTATTATTAACTGATGAATTGACCTTTTCACTTCACAACAATAACACTGATCTACTTCAGTTTATCAAGTGTTGAACAGGAAACAGTTCTTCTCGTTGTGAGACTTTAACAGACTCTGAGACTGGGGCACTTTTGAGACACTCAATGAGGCAGGTTGAGACCAACAATATGAATCATACAAACTAACGGCTTTGCTACCATGAAAGTAAAAATGATCTCGCTGGAAGATATTTTTAGACTGATGGTGATTTTTATTAAACAACTTGGTTTTAAGGTTTTTGACAGTACATAGGAGACATTCATACATATCGTCTACCTAATTCTAAAAAGCCCTAAGTGCAGTCGATGCTTAATTTTAAAAAGCCCTAAGTGCAGTGGATGTTTAATTTTAAAAAGCCCTAAGTGCAGTCGATGCTTAATTTTAAAAAGCCCTAACTACACAAAAAAAATTCTAAAAAGCCCTAAGTGCAAGCATGTATTTACTTATGGCTAAATCGCGCGATGTAGGAAGAATTGTTTTGTCAAGATTTAGCCATAAGTAAATACATGCTTGCACTTAGGGCTTTTTAGAATTTTTTTTGTGTAGTTAGGGCTTTTTAAAATTAAGCATCGACTGCACTTAGGGCTTTTTAAAATGAAGCATCCACTGCACTTAGGGCTTTTTAAAATTAAGCATCGACTGCACTTAGGGCTTTTTAGAATTAGGTCGACGATATGTAATAATATGTGGTCAGAAGTGACCATACAAACTACGCAGAGTTATGCTCAAACGAAGTGTCCCTTCTAATGAGGCATAAAAACAAAAGGACCCTTTTAATCCCTTGTCCTGGGAAAAAGGTTGGAAAATGCTCAGCCCTCATAAAAGTCGACAAACTTAAAAATTGATAAATATGGAAAACTTTGTTAACATGCATATTTTAACATCCCCAAATTAGGTGCCACATCCGGTTTTACCCCACCCAGTAAAACCGCGTAGAATAAATCGATGTATGTGTTTGATAAAATGACCATCATTAAGGACCACGTGGCAATTAAAATCCCTCCTACATTTCGCTTCACTTGGGATTCAAATCTGTTGTTACTTTGTTCCAGGAAGATTCCGATCGCCCAAAATAAGCTGGTGCCAAAATACGACCACCCTTTTTGAAATGAGTAACATAAAATGAATGATATCAAAATCGCCGCCAAGAAAAACGCGGTCCACACAAAATTGTCGAAAAGTTTGAGAAATATCAGATTTAAAACGAGCGCGGATTTATTAACGAAAACGGCGTACTCCAGGGCATTGCGGGATTCTGCGTAGGGGTAATTAATAAAACGCGGCGGGAGTCCAAATTTTGGACTCCCAGGCGGTTGCCTAGCTCGCCTAGCTCGCTCGACTAAAACGGGGCCTGGTCCAAAATCGTTCAAGTTTACAAGTTTGATGAAACTAAGAATATTTTGGTTACTAATTTGTTCTGTAAATTGGACAGTAACATTAGTTTTTAGCGTGAATCCGAGATGAAGACACACTTCCGGTGAGGGTTACGAATAAGTGCGGAATGTCATGGTACGTCTCTGCCGAATCGGAGAATATCGGGTTAAACGCGGAATTCAAATTGCCCGCCCCGGAAAAGTAAAACTTGGCGGGGATCCCGTTATAAGAAGGGATTGAAGCGGGAACAATTTTTAACTCGTAACCTATATAAAATTACGGCATCCGTTTCCTTGACATACTTCAATCCATTGAAGTTCTTTTAAAATTTGCAAGGTTTGCAAAGTATGGCTAGAATCGGTACTAATTTTCAGCAAAATTGGGGTATAATTATTCCAGAATGACATTGTGGTATTGCTGCGCAACATCGGGTTTTCACTCGAATACACAAAAATACGAAAGTTTAAATTATTTCGAAAATTTTGAGAACAAAGAGCATTAAGGAAGTTTGAAATCTTGCCAAAGTCCAAATCAATTACTTGGATGAAATTGAAAATGCGAGTTTTGCTTAATGGAGATCCGTTAAAGGATAATTTTGTTGTATTATAATTAATTAGGCGCGTTCTTAAAACTGGTAAATGAAACAATTCTGCCAGAATAATTCTGGTGACGAAATATCAGCAAAATTGACCAGTTCCAAGTAATAAGACTGGGTCAAAATACCCAGAAATGTTGAAACTCCAAGCATGGCTTAAGAAATAAAATGAACTGTCTATCTACGTATTTGAGGATGTGAAGTTTTCTAATTATTTAGCGGAATGATTAAGTATTTTGTACAATTTGATATCAATTATAAAATTTTGCACAAGATCTATGTATGTACCTGATTATGAGCCAGTCAATTTGATCATGAGCCAGTGCGAATTATTCATGAGAGTGCATACATGTATGTAATCTAAAATAATCCCCTCGCAGGCCTTCATTAGAATAATTTGTTTATCGAATTTGCTCGAAAATATGTCGTGGGTTGTTTTTGCATTTTTGCAAAATACTTATATTATTATCATAATTACTGTTTTTATTCGTAAGTAAATTCTTATGAGGTGTGTGAGTTGTAAATTCACGTTGGTTAATTTATGAGTGTGTGTATGTTAAGTGTAGCGCAACTTGAATTAGTGTGCACCAGTTTCTTAGCATAAAGCTCTATGGTTGTGTAAATGATTTCGTAGTTAACTTCAATTGGTTAATTTTATATTAATATTAACTGGTTTATTTATGTTTCAATTAATTAGTACATACAAACTGTGTATGATACTATTTCTATTAGTTGATTTGGGGTAATGTGATACAACTATTTCTGATAGGTAACTTGATACAACTACTTTGATGGGTAATTTGATACAAGTAATTTGCAATCTCAATTTCCCATTTGGGGCAATCTGAGATTTGCGATTCACTCTTGTGCAGAACAACCCTCTGTTACAAAAAGATTAAATGGGCGTTACGCGGGCTTTGGTCCGTGGCTAGCTTTATACTGCAGAGCGGACGGAAAAGCACCCGTGTATGCTAAATCTCACAGTTAATTCCAGCTAAAATAAGTCTATTTCCGCATTATATACATAAACACAATAGTTTGTTCATCATTGGAACAAATGCATGCATACATTACATACTACCATTTCTACCTGTTTAGCAAACTACAAAGCTGGACAACTCAGTCTGCATAAGATGAGTTAGCACTCTGCTTGCCATCACTGCCAGTGTTCTGTGTTGCAAAACATTGATTTGCATGCTTCGGTTTGCTTCTACTGCAAAACCAATGTAAATTGCGTTCAATCTGCATCTTAAATGCAAACTGAACACAAAATGCAAACTACACATTACAACTCCAATTGCATTCATATTCCTAAATATTAGGAATCTGAACAATTACTTCAAAGTACAAAATAAGGAGGCAAATTACTCCAACTACGTTAATCTTGCACAATAGCGAGTCCACATATTTAATTCATTTTACCGAGTTTAGAGCTTAAATTGGGGTCAACTCGTGGCATATTATCGATATATTGATGCAAATTATTATACGAGGTGTTACTCGGATAATATTCTTTAAGCTGGAACTGAAAGGAATATGTAATGATATTAATATTCCGGTAACAAAATATGATGCAATCCAAATATTATTCAATTTGCCAAACACAAAAAATTGTGATGTACATAAATGGCCAATTTTTTAAAATTCGAGATGGTAATGTGTTCGTTAAAATTCCTAATTCGTTGCGAAATCAGACCAAATCTCAATATTTTTACCTACAAGTTCTACGAATGATTTACTTCTTTAATAATTTTAAAATATTATAAGAACACAATTTAAGGTCAGATTGGGAAAATTTTATAAGTATAAATTACCTTAACAGTTCGACACTTGTCAAAATTAGGGGATTCATACGGTAATGAGGGAGATTTTGGTGTTCAACTTTATGCTTAGGGCTGAATTCGTACAATGGTTCAAATTTTAAAAACTAATTAGTTCATGCAGTAATCTTAAATTAATAGAAATTATCTACTAAGTACGCAATTTATTTTAAACCAAAATCGGGAAGTGAAACCTTCAGTTGCTCACGATAGCCTCGAAACAACGATTAATGTGAATTATTCCCTCCGAATCGTATAGAATCACTTGGAAGTAGCCAGACTTCTGTAAAATTATGAAATTCATATGTGGTTCTTATTAAAATGATAATTAGCATTTTTTCCAAATAAGAATAAAATTACACAGAATTACCCACCCCTCTCAGGCTAGCAGGAATCTCAACTATCTGCGAAATTCTGTATTGCTTGCCAGCAAGGTAGTTGTCCGTGAAAAAAGTGGTCCGAAAGTCGTACTTCTCAACGCCATAACGAAAATTTAGGTGGTATCCCATTGCAGTTTTGGAATCAACTTTAAATGATTATAGTTGTTGTTAACATCCATTTCATATGCATATTTTTAGTTTTAGTTGATTACTTAATTAACTTAATTTTATTATCTATTTAGATAACTAAATATACTTTATTATTTGAGTATTTATTTTAATTATGGGCAAATCAGAACTATAGTGAGTTTATGACCAAATTATTTTGAGTACATCGGAGTACAAGACAAGGACAAAGTGCTTTTTTAGGGATAAATAATAATTTTACGTGGTGACCGAATTTGCCTTGTTTTAATTGTTTACAGTGTTGTCACACTACAAAAAATTTCTTTTGGTCTGACTTTTCAGATTTTCTTTTCAATGTATGAAAAGGTTTCGTACTACTACATACCAATTTCAATGAGCAACTTCGGCGAACACTAAACTTAGCACTTCTAAATATTTGGGAAGCATGGCGCTCGCAGGTGACCATGGTCCACTGGACCAAAATTGGCAATTATGGAGCTTGAAATAAGATGGTCCATCATGTGCCATGGACCATTTTTTAGATTATAAATCTGGACCAAGGACCAATTCATTGCGATCAATGTTGGAAAGATCACAAATTGACAAAATTTAAGACAGGGTGCAGTACCTACCTGGTATGAAGGTTGTTGAAATGTCATACATAATTAACGGGTACATCAGGCATGGTTGCTGACTACAGCTTGTTACTTCAATCTGTCCAAATAGTGCAGTCTCATCTGGTGAAACAAAATATATCCAGTCTAGTACTTCGATAATTCCCATAACCTAAAGGGTGAAACGAAAATTTATTTCTTTAATAACAACGGAAGCTTACTCGTATTCTGAGAGTTGCGTGGCGTAAGGTTAACAATTCCGCGTGGTCCAATAAAGGACTCCACACGAGACGATAGATTAATTGCGGCGCTTTTCCCGAAAAATAATGCAGCCATGAAAGCTACTCCCAGCAACCAGATGAATCGAAATTTGTTTGAAGACCCCATTTTTATCTGTAGCACAATTACACTGCAAATAAACTGGTGTCAATTCCGCGCGGTGTAGTCACATATAGACACCACGCGGTGTTAATACGGGCAATTAACACCGCGTGGTGTCTATATGTGACTACACCGCGCGGAATTGACACCAGTTTATTTGCAGTGTACATATTTAAGTGTAGCACATTTAATTTTAACAATGCTTGTTTTTTCTCCTTTATTTATAACGTATTATTTTTAAACCACGACACATAATTGGAACAGTTCGTCATTAGGAACGAAATTGGCAAGTCATGATTAAATTGTTGCGTATTAAAACTTCGTAATCAGTGTATGTACGTAAGCTTGTCATATTTGTGCTGCGCAAAAACATTGCTACACATACTTATATTATTGCGCATTTTAGTCTGTATTGAAGCTACATATCTGGATAACAATTATTGCAAATTTATTTAGCACAGATATCTGCAGGCAGAGCAGAGTGTCAAGTGGTATTTATCAAGTGGTACATACATACATAGGGATGTGCGTCTGGCGCATGGAACTGGTCAACGCCGTGAGGCTCTGCATGCGAATTTAAAAACAATACTTATTTTTTACTGCACCTTTAGACAAACTTATGTTGACATGAAAAATTATAATGTCTTATTTTAAATTATGCCTGGACGTTTATCATATAAGTTGAATTAAAAGTGCACTTGAAACACTTCGCATCACATTTTTCAGGAAATATGTATGTGTAACTCGAAGCAAAACTAATGTGGAAGACGAGAATCGAATTTTGGCCGAACTTTAAATCTTCGATTTCTCCTTTGATAAATTTGTTTAATTCGAAGAATCAGATTTTCCTATGTTGCTGGGAAGTTGACAAAATCTAAATAGTTTTACTCCCATGGGTAGCCAATTAGTTCCTTTTATTTATCTACTTAAGACGATTACCTCTACACAAATTATAGTCAGGGTTGCACAACTATATGAATTTATATTATGTATGTACCTAAACAATTTGATACTCACCATAATTAAAAGCTTCACTTAATAATGAGGGAGAATTTAATGCTCAAATTTACTTTGGGCGTTGTATTCGCTTCCCGTGCTAAAAATCGCATATTTTTCAACTTTGACCTCAACAATTTTGCCAAATTCTGACCATCGCACAAACTGCCTCAAGAAATGTTGGTTATATTGACTTGGGCCACTCAATTTTAAAATTTCAACCAAATCGGGAGGTTACGCTTCACACCATCGCATTGTAAGCTGGACAAAATTGGTTTACAAACCAATTTGTAATTCAACAAGAAGATAGAGATAAAATAGATGAAGAATAATCAGTAAAAATTAAATATTTCCTCATTGAAGAAAAAAATCAAAATTCGTTCTTCCTAACTTTGTTAGCCTAAAAATTACCGATTTTTACGTAGTTGAAATCTTCACATTGTAAAATACGAATGGCGATGAACAGGTTTCAAAATCGCCATTTCAGTACATGGGGGAAGGGAAAGGTGAGACACAACAATTCAAACTCAAAGGTCGCATGCTATGGGACGTTAATATCAAGAAATTGTTAGATTTTAAGTAATTACAAAGAATATTTTATTCTACACTCTAAATAAAATCGTTACCAAATCATTACCAAAATGCACACGTATATGACTCTGCAGAAACGGTAATAATAACCACCAGCTGGTAAGGAAATTGATTTAACCCGAAGTGGTAATAAACAACACTTTTCGGGATAAAATTAATACCGTGATGTATGACAGATGTACTACAATATGTAGTAAAATGTCTACCGCCTGGTAATAAACCATACCACTTTGTACACGGTGTGCTATTCATACTGGTATTAATGCTTTTTATTACGTATACCCCATTATTACCAAATGTTGTGCAGATTTCCACCGAAAAGAATAGATTTTTTGATTTTCTTTACAATAATCTTTTAATCAATTAGAATCAATATTTGTTGTAAAATCATTTTGAAACATACTTACATAATTATAAAATTTAAGTATAATGCAAACTATTCAGTTGCATACATACATATACATATTTACATATTTACTCTTCTATTCCCACTTCAAATTCCGATAAATCGTCGATTTTGGATGAATCCACATCGGTTGACGTCATCAAATAAAATGTCCTGCAGATTAAAAATTCACAATTTTTAGAAATTCTAAATAAAAGAGCACGTTTAAATAATTCACGAAATTTTCACTCACCAGACCCTCCCCTGACTTAGAACATCTCAATGAAGGCAGTAGCTTAATTATTGGAACAATTTTAATCTTGATGGACCCTATGGGGTGACCCATACTGATTTTTCAAAATCGTCATATCGAAGTGAAATTTGGGAGAGAAGTGATCCATATCTATTTTTAGAAATTGCGTTAAAAACATGAAATCCGGCACGGTAATACTTACAATTAGTGGCTTCTCATCAAAGAACTTGAAATTAAAAGTTAGCTAACAAGGGATACTTTCGAGGTGATAATCGTGTCCAGGGTACCACTCATTGGTCTAAATGTTTTTTGATCGAGTGTTTCTCACGGGTTCGGGTTCTCACTTCGGGTTTCGGGTTCGGATCGGGTTTGGGTCCTGCTTCGGATACGAAATTTCAGAACCCGAAACTTTCGGGTTCGGGTTCGGGTCCGAGAAATGTGAGCCCAAAATTTCGGGTTCGGGTCGGGTTCGGGTTCCGACTAAGAACCCGAAACCCGAACCAACAAGAACTTTTTGCCAGAACGAATACGAAAACATTAAAAAAGAAAATAAAGTGTTAACCACACTTGCTACGACGGTTATGCTGCAGTAATTCATTAAATAATTCAAATTTTTAATTGTCGTAACTTCTTTTCACAAGTGTCTTCAATTAGTGTTATGGTTTGAATATTGAAATAAAATATATTTTTTTATCAAAAATTTGCTAAATAGTTAGCTTGAGCTTACTTTAATATTGGAAACTTGAAACTGAAAATCATTTTCAGTTTTCAACTGATTTAAAAATTTCTGAATGTCACGGAAAGCCATTATCCATGGTCGATTTTTTGAGATTGCATTATTATGGTCGAGGAATTAAGATTCACATTTTAAAATGCGTTATGTACTTATGCAGAAATGTGCTTAATTATAATTCCTCGGTCATATTTACAGAAGTATTGTTTGTTTGAAACCTTTAGGCTAAAAAGCCAGTCACCCCTTAAAGTTAAAATATATTCGGTTTTTCGGGTTCGGGTTTCGGATTTGATCCGCCAGTTCGGGTTCGGATCCTTGCAAACGGGTTTCGGGTTCTTCGGGTTCGGGTTGCCCTCAAGTTTCGGATCAGTAGTATCGGGTTCGGGTTTCGGATTTGCAAGAACCCGACCCGTGAGAAACACTAATACCCATCTTCGAACTCGGTCGTTGCCCAGATGCATGTCTGTATCAAATTTGGTAAAAATCAGCCTACTCCTTCGAGAGTTATGGAAAGACAGACAGACGGACAGGTCGATTACATAAGCCCTAGTTCGGGCTAAAAATTATATGCCAATCGTTCATTAGAGTCTGGCTTTTATGTAATAATGCCGTCTTAAAAGGCCCCGCGAAGTTGCTTGGAGTAGGTTTTTATATTCTAAAATTTAACTCGGCGGTTTTTCCATATCGGTATATATATATATATCATATTTCCAACTTTTGAAGTAAAAGTGGTTTATATTTTTTACATATGTACATGTCCTACGCATTTGTACAGGTTGCAAGAAAATCCGGGAGGAATAAGCTTCGAACACCCCTTGTAAGTAAACGATTTTTGGAGATCTGTCTCTTTCCAGTTGATGTTTATAGTCACCCGTGTCACAATTCATCCTTGAGAGTTAAAATATTCTAGAGAAATTCTCCTCCAAATTTTCGGCACGTAATTTTCTGTACGAAATGGCGAATAAGATTACAATTACTTCTGAAAATAGCGCATTTTCCGCATATGTTTCCCTCTTTCAAAAGTATGGTTGCAGCCAGCCCATCATTTTGAGGGTGGACAAGGATAAAATTTTCTTCAAATATCTGCACGGTCCTGTTCGAAATTTTAAATGCTTCATTTGCCGCTGTTTCAGTATTGGCTTGTGTTCTCTTGCGTATCTTTATGTTTCCTTGGGCAGACTTTACGGTCACTTTGGTTCAATTCCATTCTGGATTTTACTGGTTCAAATAATGTTTGGAATTGTAGCGCTTTACACGATGTGGACGATCGTGGTGTGTATTACGAAAGGAGATATTCTGGAGATGGGGTGGGGGGCTGTGAGTTATCAGATACAAGAATATAAATCCGGTAAGTACACCTTAGACAGGCTAGTAGCAAGCTGTAACAGAGGTTGGGATTGGAATTCATTACCACGTCATTGCTAAATATATGTACGGTAATACTTGTTATATGACCGTGCCGGTAGAATAATATAAATATGTATGTATGTATTCCAGTCAGTAATTGCTCAATCAATACCAGTTCCCTTAGAGAATGGGAATTGCTTACTCGACTGACCACGAGCAACATATTAATTCTAATTAAGCCTAGTACTTACGACGGATTATTCAAGTGCAATAGTTTAGCCACACCGAGAATAGGTACCTAACATTTTGCAATTGCCTTGTAAATAAAAACACTTCAAATTGAAGCTCAAGTACTTCTAGTGAACGAATAATTTAATACAAAGAGAACAACGTGTCGTTTCACCATCAAATCTGTTCTGTGTACTAGGCTTAAGCAACCAATTTCAACGAAATGTCAATACATTTTTCAAATTCCATATTTCAGGTGTCCCATCCAAAAAATTTGACCCTGTCGGATTCATCTTACTTCTGCTGGTTGTCTCATCCTTCCTCGGCACGAGTCTGACCTTAATCGCGGTATATTTTGAAATGGATCTTTTCCTCTACATCCTACCCTCCAGGGGTCACCCTTTCGCGCTAATTATTCGAATCGTCCCCTCCGTTGCATCTGCATTCGAGGCGTTCAATGTAGTCACTCTGATAATCCTGTTATGCGTCACCTTTACCCGAATGGTTAGCCAGCTGGTTAGCGAAATTTGCAAGATTTCCAATTGGAAACAACTCATC